GTAGGGAAATAAGCCGTTGCTGATTAATTATTATTACTGAATCCCTCTGGTGATAAATGTTTCTGTGAGAACAGGAGTGTCCTGACATCAACAGTGCTGTTGATTTGAGCATGCAAATCATAATGAGAGGGAAGACACTGTTAGTTGTGATTTCTTGAATCTGCTCTTATATTCATTCACTCCAAAATTTATTTATGCTGCAAGAATTTCAGCAGAGAGTAACTTTATATTAGATTTACTGATATCAGAGGAATTCCTGGATAGTCATGTCAAGATCTGTATGTTTTCCCTAAACTATTCACTACATATGCTGTTAATCTGAGTTCATACTTAGCTGTTTGATTTTCCCTGGATAGCATGGAGTCAAAGTATATGACTGTCCTGTTTATTTTCTACACCTGTATTTAAGATATATTATGGTTTTATCCATGAATTATCAGATCAACTTTGTGAAAGACCAACAAGATGACATCATTGCAAAACTTCATGCAGAGTACCTGGCTTTGAAGGAGGGGATCATGAGCCTTGGCTTGGAGGTAAGGTTCTCACTGCTGGTTCTACACATTCTCTGTCTATTTTTACACTTCAGCTAAAAAAGTGATTGCTACACTAAAGAAAATGTACTATTTTCTCTATCTGATCTGATGACTGTATGGTCCTCCGCAGAAATATCTTATTGGTACTTCGGATAATCTGGAGAACCTTGAAAATATTCCAGAGGAGGTTTTATATTCAGACTGCCCTTACTCAGAGCTGAAGGACTACCTGATCCAGACCTTCCACTCCCTGTCAGAAAGGTACCAAAGCAGGTTGCAAAGTCTCAAAGAGCAGCTGCAGAGAACTGACAGGTAGGCCTGAATATCACATGGGTTTAGCTTGACTTCTTTTCACAATGCTACAGTAGATGCTTACATAATGATTGAATGAGCATGTTGTAGCTGCAGCTAATAATCGGACAATCCCTTCAATGTCTAACTTGTCCTAATGTAAAGAGTCCATTTTGATAAATACACAAACAGGCAGAATTCCAGTGCAACTGGCCAGATCAAGATGGAAGATGACTAAACTCTGCACTGACTACATTTAGAGAAAGTCACTCCACTCCCTAGAACCAAGATGTTGAACAAGACAAGTCTTTTGTCACCAGGGCTTTGATTATATCAATGCCTCAAAGCCACTTCATAACTTATTTTCTGTATGTTTTCTATATAGCATTGTTAGCCTCTATGAACAAAATGCAGTTTATCACTGCAAACCCTTTGGAAATGAAGTCAAGTGAAATGAAGGAAGGGAAACATAGTGTTATTTATTTTTCTTTATGATCATGTCTTCCGGTTCGGACTTCTGTGGAGTCCGTTTCAGGTTTTGTGGCTGGAGTCCAGATGACCACGAACGTTTCCAGTTCACTTTGTCTCAGTACACTCATGACATACCCAACCACAGGGCGCTCTGTACGGACATGCTGCAGAGACTGTTCCCAGGGAAAACTAGACAAGAGCTGGTCAGTACCTTGGCAATGTTTACTGAAGCAAAAGATCATTTGTGTCACCTCAACACACATAAAATACTGATAGATGTTAATAAACTAAAATTCTCTAATCAACTATTTTGATAATTGAATAACTGATTTATCTTTCAAGCAAAAATATTTGCTGGCCTGAACCCTTCAAACATAAATATTTACCATTTTAGTGTGTCTTATACTCCGTTTATTCAGGGAAGTTTACCTGAGAGCAGTGCTCACACACAATCACATTCACACATGAAAGCTGTCTAGTACAACTACGGCCTGGTCGTCTGACAAATTTACACATGCTGTACATTAATGCACAAACTCCCCTCACCCCAAAACCCCTTCCCTTCCCCAGTCTGAAGCAGCCCTGCAGTGCAAGTCTCAGGCTCCCTCATCAATGTACCTCAGCACCCTGAACTGAGCAGACACACCGATAAGTTCGGACAATGATCCAGTCATCACGCTGCAGGATGTGCCATTTCACCCACTGTGGCTAACTCGCTCACGCCACAGCCTAGCATTGCCATGACAACCGCCAGCCTCTTTCTGTGCTCCCTCACCTGCACCCAGAGACCTGTCCTTATAGCAGCTGGGTGCTACATTTAAAGCTGTGATTTTTCAGTCTTGAGGGGGCAGACTGTGAGGAGGAGAGATGCATTTCTCAACAGTCTGTCTCCTTACTCTTCACTTCCTCAAATACAGAGTTCATGTAGCGGTGACTATATCTATTCAGCTATGGGTTGCTGAAACTCCATTGATCAGTGTGTTTAGGCTGTACTTACAAATATTTGTCAGTCTTCTTTAAATTCTAATTCAAGGTAAGAACAGCTCTGTTTTATGCCTAAATAGTGATATGACTGATTTTCCCCAGTTAAAGAGTTTGTGCAGTATAAATGTTTAAGAGCCTTGGTGATCATTCAGTCTTATGATCAGCTTCTATTTTCTGCACAACTGGTTGTAGTATCTCCTTTTGGGAAGAACAGTTTGAGAGAGAACCCTTTCAGGAGTTTAACTTTATGCTTTCTAAAGTTATTGCTTTTCTGAGATTGACATTTCAGGTTCTTTTTCTGATATTGCAGAGAAATATCCAAAGGAAAGTAGAGGATTGGTCTGGAAAGTTACATTAGTGGCACTGACTTACTTCCCTTTCTTAATCCCAAAATATTTGAACCAAGTAATTTCATGCAGCAGACTGTGACCTGCAGTCACAATCCAAATGCATATCACTGTCTCAGCAAAGTGATCACTTTATATGTAGAAGTGTTTAGACATGGTTTCTGTATTTCTTGTGATGAGCTAAGGTAGAGCCAGCATCTTAGTGTCACTGTCAGGTAACGGTACTCCAGCCTAGAGTAGCTATCTCCCTCTGCTGGAGGGGGCTCCTTATTGTCTCTTTGATGAACTCTCATTACAAGTAGGAAGCCTTCAGAGTACCAGTAATACCCTCATAATATTCCATGCCAAGAGTGAAAATATGTCATACCTCTATATTTACTCTTTGTGCTATTCAACCATCATCGAGGCAGCACTCCGCAGTGGGAATGCAGCGGATGAACTGAGTGTCATACCCCTTTAAGTGTGCACTGCAGGCATAGGGCTGTCGATGCATCCATATACATTCTGTCAAGAGAAAATATTCATGCATGTATTCACACACATAATATGTTTATGCTCGTTTGCTCGTAACAACACCAAAAGCCAAGGGTAGTGAAGGAGAGGACAAGAGAAAGCGAAGGACAAAGTTCCAGGGTTGTGCATTCATAAACAGGATTCGCTTGACTGTCTCTGACTCTTCTGTTCCACTGGCAAGTCTGTCAGTTCACTCATTTTCAATAAAACCAGTCAGCTGTCTAATGCCTCCCCACTGTCACTTAGCTGCTATTAGCCCATAGATGAATATCATTCTCTCTGTTCCAATGAAACAGCCAAGTGGTGCAGCCTATGTGAGCGTTGACACAATGATGAATAGCTGCAGGCAGCCCTCACACAAAAAAGAACTGTTTTCCTTCAGGACATTTCACAGCCAAGATAAGGGACCATCTTATAAACCAGCAGAGCTAGATCTGGCGCTGAGTTTTCCCTTTGGTCCTGTTACCATTATTATAGACAGTGTTATTATTATGGACATCTTTCAATGTTTGGCTTAGGCTCTTATAAGAATAATTAATACACTTAAAACATTGAGCAAAGCCTTTGTCTCACCCCATGTGCACATAATGCCTTCAACCATCCATGTTACTGTTCTAGATGGAGCATGAACGAGTGTGGGACTGGCAGCGCTTCACCCAGGCACAGCTGAGAGTAGTGACCCATCAGTGGCGACGGGACCACGAAGAGCTGCTGCTGAGAGCTCTCGGGAGCTTCACAGAAACCGCCAGCACCAGCAGGACATCTGCTCACATCTCAGGGAGAAAGTTAGTGCTTGATATAACTTCTAATCATGTGAAACGTGACAAAAGTTGTCGCAGGAGCATCTCTATATTCATAATGCGGCACTTTTTATGTTGCTGCAGTTCTGTGTTTGCAACCTATATTTATTCCTACTGGGAAATGTAATATCCTACTTGTTCAGTGTTTTACAGCCTACCCAATATGAGCTCTCTGTTGTCTACTTCTCTACTCTTCTATTTATTGAGTCATATTCGCTCACATCAACCGTTAGGGGGGCAGACTTGAGATGGCTTCCATAAAATTTAACATGATATTCTTTTCCTCAAAAGTACATGTGTAGCTGTTATAGTTGTTGTGAGAGGCGTGTAAATGACTAGACAGGCAGCAGTGTCTGACTGCCTGCTTGTGAAAAGTGTATCTGCTGACGAGGCGGCGTATTACAACATCCTGCCCGACAGCGTTGCTCGCTTTTGCTGCCACTTGGGATAGGCTGTGAATTCAAACAAGCTAAAAGGGATGGTCTCGCAAACATGATGTTGCTGTCTCTGGGGTGCACTTGTTCCCATTCACACAACAAACAAGTTACTCAAGTGAACAAATCCATGTGCTGTTGATGCAGTGCTGTACAAATATAGCCATTAAAAAAAGCTTATGTCCTGTGGGTGATTAGATAACAAGACACTCTGATGTACTGATAAATGTTTGGGGTGAGCTGTCAAAACATAATAGACAGGTAGCAGTCCTCTGGCTATTTAGGGATTATTTAGGTCCAAATTTATTATTTATAGGCAGAGTACATTATTTTTTTGGAAATGTTTAAATGTGTGTTTACACCAGGTTAATCTGGTCACCTTGTAAACTAACAAACCAACACTGCTGGGATTTTTTTCTCAGGTCACCATGTTGGAACAATTGGAACACAACAATGTGTGACAGTCACTCTGTTTTTAATGTGTTGTTTTTCCTGGGTACTGGTACCCGGAAGAGGTTCTACCTCCACCAAGGAGGCTATGTTTTTACCGTCATTTGTTGGTTTGTTCACAGCATGATTCAAAATGTTATGAATGGATTTTGATGATCTTTATTGAAGGAATCTGTTACATTTTGGTGGTGATCCTGATCATCATCCCGATCCACAAATATTTTAATGGCATTTTGGGGAAACTGAACTGCCTTGGTGGAAGTTTGTGCTAAATGTTATAATGTTGTTTGGATAAAAACAAATTTAAGATATAATATATCACACTTCAGGCATTGTGTCCCTAAGGCCAGATTTGGCCTCCAAGGCAGTTTCATAAAGAGTTTCCTCAAAAGTTTGGACAGTAAGTTTAAACACCAATAACATGAATGCTCCTCCTTCATCAAGTAGAAAGGTTCCATGCTCAGGGAGTACAGTACAATCAAGTAGAATTTTTCAGCCTATATACTGTAGGTAAAATGTATAGTGTTTTTTTTTACACTGGAAGTTACTCTTTTGTTCTCATGCTTAAGCGATCTCACTAAGAGAGAACAACTTAGGCAGTTACCCACTCATAGTTTAAAAAGTTTAAACTATGTTTAAAAACAGTATCGTATTACTTCCCTATGGCCATAATCCATCCATCATAATCCTGAATAGGGATGGGGGGGCTGGAGCCAATCCAAGATGACCCTGGGTGAAAGTCACCAGTCTATCACAGGACTGACATGTAGACAGACAACCACACTCACTCCTAGAGGCAATTTAGCAACATGTCTTTGGACTGGGGGAGGAAGCAGGAGTACCTGGAGAGAACCCACACAGGCACAGGGAGAACATGCAAACTCAGCACAGAAAGGCCGCGGGTTGGCCCGGGCTCGAACTCCGAATTTTCTTGCTGTGAGGTGACAGTGCTAACCACTGTTCTGCTGTGTCGACCCTATTGCCATAATTATCCATGAAAATCACAAACCTTGCCAAAGTGCAAGTTTATTTTAATTGCTTCACATTGGCATTAAGACCAGAAAGATATATACAGTATCCCTAGTGTTTCCAACAGCAGCTCACAGATTCTTTCACTTAGCTCACATAATACATCATCCTGGGACATCATTTCTTTCTGACGTCCTTATAGTATGCATTTAATTGGACTGCTTTCACTTTATCTTTTGTCAGTTACTGCATTGCAGGTTTTTATAACTATGCTCCTTCTTTATGTATTTTTAAAGAAAACAGGGGCCTCTAACTTCCAGTAATTCAGATAAACCTGCAGCAGACCAAAAACTACACACCTCTGACTATGGCAAACATGTTTCTGAGTTTTGTTTTCATGGCTCTCTGAGGCAATAAGAAAAATAAAATCACATGGAGATTTTCATTTCTGTGGCTTTTCCATGCTCACATTTTTTGTTTATGCCTTGCATGCGCACATATTTGAGTGTGTGTGGAGGCTCAGATGGATGCCTGTTTGCATCCAATCTTTCGTTCCACTGCCTTTATCACCAGAGCACAGCGACACAGTGGTGAGACAAGATGGATTCTGCTTCCCGTTGCATCTTCTTCTTTAACACATTGTTTGCTGCAGCTGCTCCCAGTGACCCAAGAAACTCGCCCCAGCTCTGCTGAGATCAAATTCCTTCCAATATTATTATATGTACTATAAGTGATTTAGTGACTGGTAGATTACATAAAGCAATACCCTAGAGGAGAACTGCAGCCAATGGCTATGTGGAAACTAATAAAATAAAGTCCACAAAATCAACTAAAACTATGAATCATGTTTTAATTTAAAAATACATCTGCATATTTGAGTTAAGGGGCCAAACAAACTGACAAATAGCAATGCAAATTGGTGTTATCTTAGTGTGAGCCAGTAAACTACCCATCAGCCTGAGTCAGTCAGTCAAAACACATCAGTGGAGAACTTGTGAAAACTAATTACAAGTTAGCAGAGAAGCTGAAGCATCTAAAAGTAATGGATCGACAGTTTGGAGATAGTTACATAAAACTAATGAGTAAATAGTTAGGTTAGCCAAAAAATATTAAACTGTTTACAGTATTACAACAAAACAGAGTACATCCCGGTCAATATCACTAGATGGTTTAGTAATTAAAATCCTGTCCATTTAATATAATTTTGTTATTATCCAAAGCTCAAGAAGCCTTTAAATTGGGAACTGAGATGTGTGACTAATTAAACAATAATAAAAGGTTCACATTTAAGAACCTACTGCAGCAAGGGTCAGTAAATCCTTCATTTGTTTGTGTGCCTTTATTTTTGATGACAGTTTCAAAAACAGTTTCTGCTGTGTTCTGGGTGTGTATGACACTAGTCTCACACAGATCTGTGGCAGAATGTTCTGCCATTTTTCACAGATGATTTTTTAAGCTTCTGTTTGTTGGAGAGATTTCATTGCTTTACCTTCTGCTTTAAAACACTCCAAAGGTGTTCTGTTTGTTTCAAGTCAGGGGACATACTTGTTGTGGTGTTCACTCTTTTCTTCTTTAAAAACTTGGAGTGAGGCCGTGCGCACACTCAATTCTATCCTGAGGGATATGTAGTGGGGAAAAAAATCTGCCGTAATTGATTTCTGAGTTGGCTTGTATCCCTCTGCTTGGGGAAAAGGCAAGACTGTCACACAGACCACAGTTTCTTCTTAAGAATCACAGATTGGCCATGAAGAGCTGACTGGCTGGATTCAGTGTCTGGACACAGGAAGAAATCATATAGCAGCTGTTCTGTTTCAGAAGGTTCTGGAAGGGAATGCAGAAGGCATTTACTGTGAAAGGTGAATGGATGATTAAGATAACTACTTTAAAGTGTATGCATGGGATATGGCTTGTTGCATTCCAGTTTATCACTGAAAGACAGATGTTTCTTTTCACAATGTTAGCTATTTTGTTCTGCTGTGTTCTGGCTGCTGTAATTAGCTGGCATTGTTCTTGGTGGTACTGTTCATTCCAGCCTTGTATTCTGTTCTTGCTTTCATTTTGCCTCACACTTATATCTCACTCCCTGGCATCTTTGATGAGCGATTGTGTTTTCCAGAGTAAATAAAGCCTGGAGTGATGGCAGATTGCTGCAAAATGCTCAGGTAGGAAAGGGATGAGTAGCCCAACAGGACCAGGGACATAATGCTCGAAAGCAGAATGGTTATCATATGATGGGAGGTTTTGTTTTAATGTGAGAACTCATTTCCCATTTTTCTGTTCTCCAGAGTACTTTGCAATATAAAAAGCACTATTAAAGATCAACTTATGTACAGATGATGATGATGATGTGTGTGTGCGATAATCAGTGTTCTCTAGGCAGTGTGTGTTAGCACACTCCATACCACTGTGTTAGTGACTCAGCACAGCTCTTCACCTCTCTGGTGGCTGACTGGTTGAGCTGAGTTGAGACAGTGTGTGAGCCACCTAGTGTTTGAGCTGACAGCTCTCTGAGGAGCTAATTGCTTATATGTGTATAATTTTACTGTTGCAAAATGGTGTAGCTGTCATATAGACCTGGGGAAACTTCTTACTGTGCTAGCTGTGGAAATACAAGGATAAATACATGGTTTCATTTTCCCATCTCTTAATGGACATTATTGGTAGGCCCTGTAAGTGATACAGTAAATTTTAAGTGTCATTAATGTCCCTCATATGGTTTAGCGGTGCCGTTCTTACACCAGTGACTCTCCCTGGTCTGCTGTTTGAACTCACGGCAATGATGCTGGTTCAAGATTTTGCAAAAGTCATTTTACAAAAGTTCATAGCTAATCTCTTTCACTCATCTATTATATTTAAAAAGTTTGTCATTAAGTGACCTGCAATTGAAAGCTGTGATGGCTGCTGCAACACCCCCTGACTGACTGTACAGTCATATTAACAAAGGCTTTGAGTAGGCTGCAGTGTACAGATAAAAAAAGGCTATCATTCTTTTGTTATTCTGACATATCTGCAGTCTTTTTGTGCTGCCATGAAAGGGATGGTGTCCCATTTCCCTTTGAATTCCTATAAAATGAGATTCCAGTGACAAATTACCGTGGACTGTACATAATGACCGTTTTATTCTCTTTGTGCTCCCTAAAATGCCTTTTCATCTCTGCCTAAACAAGTAGGACATACAAAATACATTCAGCCGTCACTGTGTTCATGGTGGATCTAAGATGGCCTTTCAGATTATTCCATGATCTTATGTGACCCTAAACTGCAACTGAACTTTGGACAAAGGCACTGTAATCTGTCACTTGTTTATATCTCAAACAATATGATTTGCAGACAACCCCACCAGGTTGTTGACACACTCCATCGCTCATGGTTCACTGCATCAAACATGCAGGTATCTTATCTGGACCAGACTGGAGCTTGATGGATGATTTAATTATGTGTGCTTGTTTCTCTGTTTAGTTTTTTTCCCTTTCTTTCAGCTTTGATTTTAAGGCTTTGTTTTGTTTCATAGACTGAAGAATTTAATGAGACAGAATTGCTACTGACCACTGGAGATGTGAAATGCTTTTAGACGGGGCACCTAGAGAGACCCTGCACAGGTCGCCAGTCTATCACAGGGCTGACACTTAGGGTCCACAGCGTCTGATCAAGATGTATTGGCTCAAGTGGTGTTTGGGTGTGTCCATGCTCATTTCAGTAATTTGACCACAAGGTAAGATGGCTCGAGCACCCGTGCAAGTAGCCAAAGGGCTTTGGGCATAGCATGCAATTATCCACTCTGTGTGTAACCTCACATCCCCTTTAAGAGACGTGCGAGTTTGAATATTTGGCGGATTGCTTGCATACCGGCAGACTTACCAGGTTGGACATCAGTAAAATTTGCCACTGAGGAAACGGATCTGCTCGTGCGCAAGGTGAAGGCATGCGAGCAGATCATTTATGGGGATGCCCCCAATCCTCCAAGGCTCCTTGAGGTGAAGCAGGCTTGGTATTTATTAGAAATACATATGTATTGATGTGCATAACACCCAATTAACACAATGTCATCTTATTTTTTTTAAGTTTAGCGTGTCCTGCACAGCGCGTCCCAGGGTATAACAAGCACAGAGCAGGAGCATTGTGCACGCACCTAGACAGGCGTACATCACAACACAGTCAAAGTACCCATTAACGAGCAATGTCCTGTTTTTTTGATGGTCAGTGGCAGAGTCACTGTGTGCCATCACGTTACCAGCACGCCCAAAATTTACCTGGACACATCCCATTTTTATCCAGATACATCTGCTGCCGTGAACTTACCAGGCTAATGCTTGGTAAAAAGGAAGGGAACGTACATTAGGATGCTCTTCCTGGACTACAGTTCTGCATTCAATACCATTGGCTGAACTCATGTGAATGTCATACTCTGGTATATACAGTATAGCATTTATGAAGCTGCATAAATACTGATACAATGGTGTCAAATTGAACTGGATTAGAACTGGATTGCAGACAGGATTGTTTTAAGTCCTTTCTCAAACACTCAGATGCTGCTTTTTCCCAGACAGATATCCAGTATGGCTGACTTGATGATACCGCTGGTGCTAATAGTGTGAGAGACCTTGTTAATTTTCAGTTAATTCCTTCAGGGATTCGTAAGCTCTCCTCTGACAGATCAGTGAGACTGTCTGCACAGTGGGAATGCAACACTTTAATACTCAGCTCGCCACAGAGACACTACTGCGTAACGAAGCTGTCACTCACTTGCTCCCTGGCAAATGTTGGACTGTGTATGTGTGATAAGTTTAGATTGTCTGTGAAACTGTACCATGGGGCTAGCCCCCTCTGTTTCATTGCCTTCTTTTTTAAAGGGGCAACACTATCAAGTGTCGTACGCAGGGAGGCCAGAGCACTATCAACAAGATTATGGACTTGTGTTGGATTGAAGGTAGCTGCCCTCCATTGTGTTGGCACATGGCTCTGAAGTAAATAATAATGCAGTTGTTTCTTTAAATTTGGTAAAAGCATTGTCAGACATCTACTGTAGTTTGTCAGTGTTCTGTCAAGACATCGTAGTTTCATATTTGGTGATTTCCATATTATTTTCTGAGAAGTTCACATGGGGTTTATGCAAACGTTTTCTTTAATAAAAGTCTTTCAAACTTGGAATTGTGTATAAAACATGACCTGATTTGTTGTATAGGGACAGCACTGTCCTCACAAGAATAAGTTATTATAAAGATCAAACACAACAGGACTTTTTTTATGATTCAAAATGTCCTGAGGTGATCTAACGCAATGTGTGAAAGGCAGCTGTGACACCTCTTCTAGAGTTCATGCCACAACTTTGGCACTATGGTAGTGGGGCTCAGCTGGTTGTCTCCCTGTGAGTGAATCTTTCAAGACAGCTGTTGATGGGCAATAACCTGCTTTTTGTTTCTGCCTGCTGTGCATTTGCATGTGTGTTTGTAGCTGCAGCAGTGGCGGGCACAGCAGGAGGAGGTGGCAAAGCTGGAGGCAGTTATAGCTGCTAGACAGGAAGAGGAGGAAAAGGCAAGAATAAAGAGGGAGCAGGAGAAGGAGGCCACCACCAAGGCACAACGGAAAGAAAAAGTAAACCCATCTTCATCACACCCCTTACTAAATATTGGATTCTTTATATCAACACTTAATGCAAACTTTAATATCAACCTAAAAGTTGTTTCACTCATTTATATGATTGCATTCCTTGGATTTTAAGGTTTCTATGTGCTGCCATGGGGAAAATGATAATGATAATCACTTTTATTGGCCAAGTATGTTACACACACAAGGAACCTGTCTCCAGTACAGAACCGAGGCAGCCATGTGCAGCACCAACTCACCCACAATGATAATGTGTAAAACCAACATAATTTTCTTTATGTTAACAGAGGAAATATGAATGAATTGTGTTGCATATACTAGCATTAATTTGTGTAAATCCAAAGACCCGGTGTTTCCTTTTTTTCAGTGCACACGCATTGATGGCAGCACTGTCTCTATATGATTACAACTTAAAAACCTTTTTTTTTTGATAAAACCAGGTTGAATTAAGACATTTCTACAAATAGGTATATTACCCTGCTTATTTTTTCTAGAAGAGAGATTGCATTTTTATATATTTGAATTTTTTATCCTGTGCTCACAAGCTCTACATTATGTGTACATAACTTAATATCTTGAGGAAGAAACAAGATAATATACTAGAAATACAAATGCTACATTTTCATGCAGCCAGTTCACAATAGAGAAAACTTGGTAAACCAAAAACACAGGACTGCCCTCAGCAGGGATGATCTACTATATTTTTTAATGGAGAATATGTATAGATGGGTTAGGTTCAGATGGATATTTAGTTTATGACAAAAATTCAATTATTATCATTCTGATAATGAAAAGCATGAGAGAATGAAATGCAGTACTCAAGCCTTGGTGTACTAAATAGCATCACAATACTCAAAAAATACATCAATATTCATATAATAAATAATAATACACAGAATAGAAAGCCCTCCTTCAGTGCACCAAATGATACTATGTGGTTTGCCAGCTCATAAAACCTTTTGGTGTGTGTATAAGACAGTGCATGAATGACTTGTCATATAAACTATTAGATAAATTAATACACATTATCTTCTATGTCATCAGGAGCTCTGTCTAAATGAAAACAATATTACAAATTGATATAGTGACTGTAGCTTACAATTTATGGCTACACTGCTTGAAGGGTTCAATAGTGGGCACGCACTGAGATCAAACTGAAGCCACATTATGTTACATCTGGGTATATTGATTATTCAAGTTAGTTATTGTCCTCACAGGTGCAGCTAAACCAGAATGTGTGTGTCTAACTGTTTAATTAACTCTCTCCTCAGGGCTCTGCTAGGAGAGTATGGGCGCCCTGAGACACTTTCTGATTAATGAGAGTATTTAGGCTGCATTGGATTCCATGTAATTTAGCACAATAGTTTGCCAGACATTGAAATATCATCTAATTTTCCCTATTTACACCTATCTGATTCCTGCTCCGTCAGCATCAATAGCACAAGATGATTCTCAGAGTTCTGACGGAGTCAGATTAGTGGAAGTGTGGCTACTGTTCTTGTTAACTTTTTGTCATTATTCTTTGTAAGCTGTTGTTTTTCCCCCAGGTCAGGCAGTTTTATTTACAACAGCAGAAGAGGAGGGAGGTGCTGGAGCAGAGGGATCGAGAGAGACTCGCCAAGCTGAGGAGCGTCATGGAAGAACAGGCAAAGCGAGATAAAGAGAGGTGAATGCATGAACACAAGCAATTACTTTTCTTCTTATGGGCTTATTACCTCTGCTTACAATCACAGGTTTATTACAAAGGCATTGCCATCAAAGTCTATTTACTGCTCAGAGTATAGCACTGCTACTGAATACTACTCAACCTGAAAAACAGTCACTATGACACAATTATGTCTCAGCCAAAAGCCAAGATAATGTCATCATTATCTTGGCTTTGTCCCACAAACTGAAGGTGTAAAGTTTGAACGAGGTTTCCAGGCAGAAAGACCGGCTAACAAAAAGACGCTAATTGTTGCATTATGGGAAGTGTTAGATCGAGCACCACTATTGGCTGTGGTTAAAGGTGCAGCACACACTTGAGACTTTCAGGGCAGTGAGACACTGCTTTTCAGATTGGTGTTAAGTTACTCTTGAACAATAAAGGATTCTACCTTCAAAACATTCCCTGTTTGCTGTGGTTTGCTTGGCATTTCTCTGCACTCACAAATGCTGGCACCTAATACCAGATGTTGGAGCTGATTTGGGCATGGTAATGAACTCTGGCAGGAATGATAACAGGAATCATGAGAAGCAGAGAAAGAGAGAAAAACTGATAATGGCAGAGGAGCTGCACTCTGGCAGCTCCATAAAGCCCTCCATAGCCCGGAGGCCTGCGATGTCAGTGATGATACAGTAGGTAATGTTGGTTGTGGCAGTGGCAGAGAAAGGGGCTGTTTGAGTCTGATGTCCACACTCTCTGTGCTCCCCCTAGGGTGCAGTTTAGATCAGATATGTTGCAGCGACGCAGGGAGGAGAGAGAGGCGAAGGAGCTTGATCGCCAGAGAGAAGAAGAAGAGAAACAGAATCGTCTGGAAGCTCTCAGAAACCAGGTTGACCATTATCTGCCCTTTACTCATATAACATCACTGATTTGCTCTGTCAGTTGAAATGATCCAGAAGATAAGACTTAGGCTCATTATGGCTCATTATTATATAAGTTGAGACACCACTGCCACCTTATGGCAATAAGTAAGAAGACAGCTGGATATTGTCACTTTATTAAATGCTTTTTCCTATTTATCTTAGGTTCGGGTGGTGGCAGAGGCAGACCCAGAGAGGATGATAGCAGACACAGAGGCTTGGAGGAGTCGACAGGTGAACGTAAAGGAGTTTGACCTTCAGAGGCCTCTCTACACTATTAACACATACACAGACACACAGGTAAGGTGTGATAACATCTGCCCTCTTAATATCTATAGCCTTTGTTTGTATGGTTACAAAAGCACTATAGCTGCATGGCCATTTCCCCCAAACTTCTCCAGGATACTCTACTTATCATGAACCTACAAGGGCTCCCTCCCCAGTTTTGTTGATTATATTCAGCCGTTTAAGTTTCATTTCATCTCGGGTGAGACGGACCAGTGACCCATGAGGTAGGAGAAATTATGCAAGCAGTTTGTCTGGTCCAACTATGTTTGTCCTCAGGGACATGTATACACAGCCTCGATATCAAGGGCACCAAGTAACTCAGTGTGTGTGTGGTTTTATCATCACAATACAGTGCAGGGTAGAATTTGGTTAATGTGTAACACAGGAAATGGCTAATGATTATGAAACTGTCAAAATCTTTGCAATCAACACTAAATTGTAAAGGATTAGTAATTAATCTTGTCAGCTTTTTAATGTATGGTAAACCATAAAAACAAGCCATGATCCAAGGTGAAACAGCTGGATTTAAAAAAAAATCTGTTTTCCAGATTGTGTCTGATCCGAGGGTGCGGGTCGAGCAGGCTCTGCGGGAGGCCGGTCTGCACCACAGCCAGTACGCCAAAGAGGTTCTGGCTGTTATTGAGCCCCCTAAACCACCTCGACGAGACACCAAATCCATACTCAAATTTTAACCAAGGTCTTGTTGAAATCACATTAAGAAGTCCAACCAACCCTTGTTCTGTTTTGAGCATTATATGATGTATAGATAATGCGTTTTACTGAGCTGTGTGTGTAAGAATCATATTCACAGTTGTACAATTTGTGTGGCACAGTATCAGCTTTTCTCACAAAGTAAAGTGATACACCAGCAAGTGACACAGTGCAATTATTCTGATTCATTTTTATTGGATGTTTTATACTCCTCAGCACCTCATGAGCCATACAGTATCTCTGAGTGGTGATATGTAATTTCAGCTGGTTAAAATTACATTTCACATTTATCAATATTTATTGACAGCTTGTCTTACTCTCAGGTAGTTTGTATTAGCATGAACAAGCTTGTAAGGCAGAAGCTACAATGTGATTTATGTCTCTAAGTATTTAGCAAAAACATTCATCACTGAAACAGACTGTGGGAAGGCTCCTTTCATCTTCTTGTATCATAAGGGAAGTCGTTAAGGATCAATGCGTGCTTCTCATCTAACATGTATACTAGAAGAAAAAATCTTTAAAGCTGGATTCCGCTAACAGATCACAAACCTTAAACCTACAAACATCCCCTCAGGATTTGGAATTGCCTAAATATCTGTAAAATTGTAGTTACAGCTAAAATCATCACAGACTTGGATCATGACCAAAATGTAATCAGTTGTTCATCTGAAAATTTTTTGCAGTGTTATGCAGAAAAAAGACACAAAGACACTGTTGGACTTTCTCTGCTTAAGCACCAGAGTATTAAATATTAAAAGATACAATATGTACTTATATATACATATGCAGTAATATAGTGCTTCATCAAAGAAATCATAACATTGCTGACGTTTTAAATAAGTATCTAATGCTTATATTAACATTTCAAATATAGTATATACACATATCAACCTACGATATCAGCCAAAGCTATATACACTTTAGTAGCAAGGTAGATGAAGGTGTCTCAGACAATAAGTCCCAGGTGTTTCTTGATAAAGTGGGACACCAGGATCTGAGGTCTCTGCTGGTACTCCAACAGGACATCATGAGAGGAGGTGATCTGGTCTCCTTCAAAGCGGTCCAGCAATACAACACAGATCACAGCAGCTGGAGGGGAAAAAAGATATGGTAAAAAAAATACATGCTAAAATGTCCTTATTCTTCCCCTAAGACATCACTGGGTCAAAATTACCTAAGTCAGTGTGAGTGGAACACTGCCATGCATATCTGTGAATTCTACACTGCTCATTTCTACAGTGTATGTTTTATTGGCCATTATCTACAGTAGATGGCCAATAAAAGAAAATGGAAGTTCTTCTTGTTCTATTTATCTGTAAACATGAATCTGGACACAAATAGGCTGCAAAGTGGATTGTGTAACTGTACAGAGTGTCCTACATTTAGTAAACAATACCTTTGAGGCCACAGACATGGCACATAGCAGCGAAAACTGTGGACTCCATTTCAATATTTCTCACTCCAGCCTCATAAGCTTTCCTCAGATACTCCATTTTTTCTCCATGAGAGAAGGAGCAGAGAGCCCCATCAAGTCGGCCTTGACCTAGAGAGACACAGTACAGCATTTGTCAGTACTTAACCAGTGGATATGGCTTGTTGAAGATTTTTGCCTGTGCTTAAATTACAAATGTGAGAAACACTGAGGATGGAATCTTGTTTATACTGTACCTTCATAGAAGTCATGGGTGCACATGGTGTTTCCAATCACCGCTGGAATGTTTTGAAGCTCAGAAGAGCACTGCAAAAGCTCGCTGGCCAATCCTTCATCCAGCTCTGTACTCCTGGTGATAACTTTACCCAGAACTACCTGCTCAAACTGGGGACGGAAGGAGTAGTCCACCGCTTTATCTGTGATCACCACCGTCCCTGCTGCCAGTCCTAGAGATGACAGGGTAGAAATGTTTACATACAGTACTTATGCTATAGCCCTGTCTGATACCCAGAATAGAAGAGTACATTACTGGTAGGCACTATCTAATCACTTTCACACCAAGGTAAAGCTAAAGTTTTCTATCATTTTTTAAACAAAAAACTGTTCTTACCGACTCCACCAGATGTTCCAAGGCGAAAGAGGACCACATCACGGCACTGGGCATGGTGCAGCAGTTTGATGAGCTCATGAAGCATAATGGAGATGGATGGGACACCCATACCATGCTGCAACATATACATTGGGTGCACACAGATTTTAAAATCCTTACTCCGGTAATTGAATATTTTAGGAACTTGCTGTTAGACATGCTATCCACCATGGAAACTGATATTTACACTTATAGAGAGCACTGGTCCCACTTTGTACATGCAGTAGCGATCAGATCCCTCACATATGTCTCTGATTTCCTCTGGGTTTCCAGGCAGTTTCAGCTCCTGGTGGATGAACTGGGAAAAAGCCTTCATACGATTCATGCTGCCTCCAACGCACACAAACTATGGGAAAGAAAGAGAAAGAGCAACATTGAATTTGGTTTTCTAGCTTTTGAAGTTGTAAACGCAAAATCAGTTTCTCTAATCTGACCTTATTTCACAAACCTTAGTATCGCCAAACATTTCTGGAAGGTTGTGAGTCTTGGTGCTCAGGTTGAAGTGGTAGAGAATGTCCTCTTCCATGGTGTGCAAGTAGGGATTCTTCACTTGGACCTGGTGCCTAACAAGCAATTCAGTGCAACATATTAATACATTTCTAGAATACTAGACTGAAAGTAAATGCTCTGACATACTGTATGTAGAAAATGAAGATTTTTTTTGAAGAGCAACAAGAAACAGGTAAATCATAACTTTGTTGAGGAGCTGAAACACTTACTTGATGCACTCATTATTGTCATTCCCCATACAGTTAAGTAAAATGGATACCATGACTGTAGGACGCGATTTAAAATTCAGTTTAAAATGTCTTAGAAGTTGCTTTAGCGTAAAACCTCCAAATACTCGTTGCAGATGTTTTTCGAGTACGTGTTATATCAGCTGGCAGTGTTGATATACAGTGTTGACCTCTGACCTTGTCATTGATTGGATGCAGAGAGAGGAGTAGCCCCTCTAGTCACTAACAAAAACATCCACCAGCTCCAAACAAACAGAGAACAATCAATCATGTGAAAAAAAGATTGGCCAAGTCCCAAAACATTAGTATACCTTCAAAAAGGTATATCAGCAAGAATAAAAGTGATATATGTGACGTAAACTGCTGTTATGACAGAACCTTGCACAACTACGAGCTGGAGTGTTTCTGAACAATAGCAGATCTGAAGTCAGTGAATAACTGATGTGTTATGCAATGCGGATTTCCAAAAGAAGACTGAGATAACTTTTGACACAGTCTTGTCAAAACAATGGGATACAGAGCCAATTTAATGTACCAGCATAAATACTGATCATTCAGTGTACACTGTAAATACTAACTCAATATGAACTAATTCAAATCATGCACTGTATCATTTGCTTTATGAGCTTACACTTCTGATGTTTCCCAAAAAATGGGCCACACAGTATTGTTAAAATTAGTGTAGGAAGAAGTACTCAGATCCCCTACCTAAGTAAAAGTAACAATACCACAGTGTAAAAATACTCTGCATTCAAAATGTTACTTTAGTAAAAGTACAGTATAAGGTATTACCATCAAAACATACTTAAAGAACTAAAAGTAAAAGTACTCATGCAGAATGGCACATTTAACATTAATGTATATCATATGATTTGATTATAATTACTGATGCATTGCTGTGCTCATCACATGTAATGTTGCAGTTGTTTAACGTGGAGCTAATTTTAATGATCTTATATGCTTATAATTTGAAGCACTTTACATATTGTTGGGTAGCTTGTGCATTTTCCATTGGAGATCAATAAAGTTTACAATTATACTGTAAATTTTGAATTAATCTGCTTCTGAAAAGTAACTAGTAACTAAACTTATCAAATACGTTTATTGGATTAAAAAGTATATTTGCCTGCAGTGAAGTCAAAGTATGAAGTAGCACAAAATTAAAATATAGATACCTCATAATTGTACTTAAGTCCAGTACTTGAGTAAATGCACTTAGTTAAATTCTACCACTAGTTAAAATTTCATCCATCTAAGATTGGTATATAAGACAAAAGGCAACAGTTGGTTTTATCTGAATGGTCAAACTTTTATTAGCTTCCTTTACAGTTAACTACAGAAAAAAAAACTTTACACAGGAGTTAACTGGTTCCTTCCTTCCTTAACAAATGCAATTAATGAGGCGTCACTAAGAGGCACAATAAATAAGAGGTGTAGCTTTAATCCAGTGAATAACTTTCATTGTTTCGAGTAAATCGTTTGATGTGGCTCAGCATGAAGGCGTAAAGCAATTATTGTTGTCAGATGAAAGGAACCTGCTGAAAGCATTTGAGTTTCCCACTCACCGGCAGTCTTCTAATCTGTTGAGACAGAAATGCATACCAGCATATGAATTATTCACCTAATCATTATCACATAATTCACTAACAATTTCTACATTGTATTGTCAAGGGGCATCATAACTCCTTACTGGCTGAAACCTTTTAAGTGTCACATCTCAAATTTTGTGAACATTATTCATCATGTGCTGTATCCACAGATTGAGTCACATATAATCAATAAATACACAGCGCAACAGCTTGGCTTCATTTCCTTTTATTATACCAGATGTGAATTATGATAGCATCATGAAAAAGCAATAAAATAAATGATTCATGCCCCATAAGATTGTAACTAAAACTACACTACTTACTTCATCCATCAGCTTTGGCTGTTGGTTTGTTGTCTTCCGCATATCCAAAGCTCAACAGCTTAGACATGTCAACAGGAGCTGGTTTCTTGTCATGTACTCTGTGAGAACACCAAACCAAAGTCAATGCATCGAAATGTGATGGAAACACAGTCTGGAAAACACTTACAAATGTACAACTAGTATATATATATTTCACATCTTATACCAAACCACCAACTTTGCAAAAACATGATTGTGGGCCTAAGATAACTTGTTGTGGACTTGTTGACATGGAGTATCATGCCCTAGGACTACTGTCTTTTATCTGGAGCATTGTATGAGGTTATTTTGGGTTTTTGACAAGTCAGTGACATTTTCTCAAAGGTACACGGAACACACAGACTAGCTGTGAGCCAGAGCAAACACACAGGTGAATTCCCAGATTTGGCAAGAATCTCTGCCTGCTGTTTCATTTGACCTGCGTACCCATGAGCATTTCTGCTTAGTCATCACAAGATGGAGATATATCATCTAGGATTTACTGACAACACCCACTGAAATACATAGAAACACGCATCAGCCACATATTACGTGTTACTAATAATTATAACTATAAATTGATAGAAAAACTAAATAATATAAAAAAAACACTGTAGATTATGATATGTATATATATTTTTATATCCATATTAATCTAAAATGGCTACTGATTATAGATTAGGTAGAGGTCAGGTGTATATACAGTTTATTAACATAACTGTTTTGTAGTTGACTCCTAGAACCCTGTGCTACTGTTATTCATTCATCACTGATCATAATGACTGAGATGGTGTGACATCATGAAGATCAGAATTACTGGCATATAAAATCTATTCTATTTTGTGTAACTGTGTTTCTAAAATAACAAAAAGTGATGTTCTGACCACTTGTGCTAAACGTAATACAGAACAACAGCACCATCTTGTGACTGCATGGACTTACATCCTCCTGAATCTGCTGGGCTCATAATATTGATTGGGTGAGTGCAGCTTTTCTGTCTGGCTGCAAGGATCACCGCTGTTCTGAAGAAAACGAAACACAGATACAGTGTATGGTATTGATGTTATGACTGTAAATACAGCTAGGACATATCATTTTTTTCCATGTCTTCAAACAAATACCCAAAACACCAAAGGAGGTCTACCTGATCAAGTAACAACTAAATGAAGTACAGCATCACTAACAATCTTTCAGCGTTGCCATACAACACTGGATCAGAACAAAATAAAACAACATGAGAGACAGAGAGGAAAATGTTGTTGTGGTGACTTGGTGACTAAATTACTTTTTAAATGACATGGGCGTTTCTCTGTTTACCTTCTCGTTGCTGCTATCATCCCTCTCCCAGGCTGACATATTATCAGTCCCAAAGGGGGGTTCTAGCTGTTGAAAAGCTCCGGGGCTTTTCTTTTCTTCACTGCTAATGAGACTGATGGAAAAGACAACACACGGATATGAAGGAAATGTATTCACGTACTGGAAGCCGGAACATTATACTGACAAGTAACATATAATGACTAATAAACAGAAGCAAATGATAGTAGATATATAGTAATGTAGTAGTATTATTAGCAGTATCTTTACAGAAGTAGTACTGGCAGCAGTAATATATTTGGAACAAGTAGTAGTGTGGGATTATAATCTGACTACAAGTCAGTGCATGATAATAATAAGACAAGCATTTAAAGTACCTTGGGTCGTTATTGTCTCCTGATTCAGGACAGATAGAGTCAGGGGATTGGTATGAAATAGGTTTGGAAGTAATTGTTTCCTCATGCCACAAAAGCCCTGTTGAACAAGGATGAAAGAAAAATGACTAAAATAAATGTAGGCAAAGCGTATTACCCAGCAAGAGGGACATGTATAGATACAAGGTGACAGAATGGCTCTACCTTTATGCCCTCCTTGCTTTGCAAGCTTGACATAGTCAGAATCACTGTCTAGGACCCCAGCCCTTCGCCCTCGGGCCCTCTCCTCGGGAAGAGTGCTGATAGCTGGGGACAGTCCTGGAATCTGGGAGATATGGCCATTTGTAACATGGCACCCTGTTTTCACCCCAGTAATGTTAAAGCACACGCATACAAGGTGAGGGAGAAAACAAGAAAGGCGCAATTTCAGTGTATGGCTTCATTTGAATTCATTTTAACTAGGCCAAGCACTACTTGCACCCTTTGAGTAATAACAGAAACGTTATCCTCCACCAGGTTCCAGCAATAAGTCAGTATGTACAGCTGTACTTGCCAGATTTCGTTGCTTGAAGATTATTACTCATTAGAGCTGAGGATTGTCTGATGGAAATGGGAACAAAACCGGACGAGCGAGCATTGTCAATAAGCATCAAAAGCTACTTTAAAGTTAGCATTAATTAACTAACGTGACTACTTTCAAAGCCTTGAATTCAGTATAAATTGCAAGTAACCGCACTAATAGGTCTACAGAGAGAGATAAAAACAAGGAAACTAGAGTTCCGATTAAACTAAGAATGTTTTTTTTTTACTTACTCTGAATTCGTATTAGCAGCAGAGCTAAAAGTCCTGCGTATGAAGAACTAACTGTTTGGAACCGTTCACCGCGTTGCCATGGAAACGGCCTGTCGGTACTCCCCGCAGCACAGCTGCTGCTCCG